AGATTGACCGTGACTTCATAACGCCCCCACAACTGAAAGGGCGAGTATGTTTGGTGGGACGGGTACTCGAACCCGCGACCCTCAGATTGCGAGTCAAGCGCCCTAACCACCTGGCCAAATTTGAAATTCGGTCTTTACAGAAATATATGGCAATTAACTTAATTACTTAGGAGTATCAATTACTGTCACATAAAATAATCGACTGATGGGTATTACAATTAAATCGATTAATATAATAAAATAATCAACTAATAGAAATTAGTGTTTCTAATTATTTCAAATATCTAATTAATCAAAATATTGCCATAAGATTTAACCGCAAAACCAGCTAATTATAAAAATGTATCAATATTAGAAACCATGAGTCTAACTAGCTTTGAAGTTTTGCTTCTCTTAAGTTTTTGTAGGATCTCTTGCAACATCCAAAACTTTGTGTAATCATTTAAAATATTAATTTCAGAAGTATATTCCATTTTATTCCTAATAACTATTCTATTACCTTTATTTGGTTTCAATACAACCATTTTATCCCTTTTAACTTACGCTCCTTATTGCTTTCATTTTTTTATTAAGGTTATACAGTTTAACTCGGAATTATCATCATTAAAAGTTATTCCACTGTAAAAAAAATTGTTCTGATCAAAAAACAAACCAAATCGTTGCTTCTAAAATCATCCAGAAAATTTATTTATATCAGCAGTATACATAATACGTTTAGTCTCGGTATCTAAGAAGAAAAGTTTATGTGATATTAGCAATAATGCTCTTGAAGGAATGCAATTGTCCAGTATGAAAACATTTTAATTTTTCATTGTAGAACATTCCAACTTTCCATAACCTTTATCTACCAGGTACAATGTAAATTTAAAACTTACTGCTAAAAGTATACTGGAATGTAAACACAACTGAAAAACATTAATCTTCATTTCTAAAATCCGAATTTTTCATTAGAGTATTTTAAATTCAGATGATGTTTATGTGTAGTACATTAACATGCTTAAAAGAGACTATGATATTACATGCTGTTGCAATATGGTGGAAATGTAATTAGTAAAGTAAAGCAATGCTTTATAGACCTGTATAGAAATTTAATTGGTAAAAGTTTTGATATTGTATTAATATTATATCACAACATAACAGTTGTTAATTTTTATCACATTTTCTTTAATAGCCCAATAAAGATATCCTGTAAGAAGCATATTATATTACAGCATTTCAACTATAGCTAATGGATCATATTTACCAGTTTAAGTACCATTAGACTTGACATTTCATAAATGATATAAATAGTATTTCATCTAATTTTTTTATGTTATAACCCAGGTGGCTCAATCTGATGAGGTATGTTATTGAGTGAAAGTTCTCTTGGGTAGTGGATATGAAATATATAATTGAGATACTATCAGACAGCCTTCTTCCTGGAAACTGTAATTGGTCAGTAGAAAATGATGTAATCCAAATGATCGGTGTTATGATGAAATGATATCATACATAACTATTACTAACTAACAAATCATGCTTTACCAGCTCAGGTATTATACGCGAGTTTATCTTTATAAAATTTATTAAATCAGATCTTCTATATTCAATAACTGCATCTACTTCTTAAGTCTAAGATATCCAATCCTTTTATATTTATGTACTTACAGTAAGGTTGTGGTGATCAGATATCAGTCACAACCATGATTTGTAGCCTATGTATGATTGTACAAGTCTAATCATTAATTAGTTAATTGCATGAAACTTTGTACAAAATTTCTGAGTAGTATTTAGTTTATGTTAAAAAAATTGTAATATTTGATTATATACTTATATCATTCATTTGGTTGGGAAATTTAATTTTTTTTTTTAACAAAAAAAAAGAAGATACTTCCTTTCAACTTACTTAAGATTTTAACTGTTGATAAGAAGGTTTCATTATATATATATATATATATATACACACACACACACACACACATACATATATATATATATATATATATATTCTACTTAATACTTCTTACTACTATTTTCTTTTAGTACTTACTTTTTAGTTTTACGTCCTTACTACCTTAGA